GAACGTGCTCTTGCTTGTGTCACTTGAACGCGTACACGCACACACACACGCGTGCAACAAAGAGGCATTCACGATTATGTGACAGTAGTCATTTCCGTATATAAGCAAGTGTCTACAAAGTTCAGACACAACATCGCAACGAGTCGTCACGTTATCGGGATATCACGGCGAGAAGACCGAGCAAAGACGGGAGGGGGGAGGTTCAATAGAGGGGTCGTCATAAAGTATAGCAGACGCAAAAAAAAAAAAAAAAAAAAAAATCTAGCGCAAAAATAATTCAATACTCTTTTTTTTTTTTTTAATCGAAAACAATAAAATCGGTTCGAGAAACAATTGTCTTTTTTTAAGCGAATTCCGCGAAACGGAACCGAGAGACCTCTCATCGTCGCGAATCCGGGCATAGCGATCGTTTCGTCGTGGGTTACGCACACACACGACATATTATTTGTACGTGTGTGCGCGCACGTACTACTCGTGGAGAGTATATTTATGTGCGGAGAAAACGCTCGCTCACACGCACGCACACACACATACGGCCGAGAAGAGGTACGAACTTGTCACGCACGCGTGCACATCCGTGTGGCCGACAGGCGCCACCGGGTTAACGTTGTGTGTGTGTTACTTGCGTGTGCGCACGTAGCGTAACGCCATGCGCCAGCTGTAAGAGCCGTGGCACTTTATGTGCGAGCGAGGCGCTCGTGTGCGTGTGCGTCCGAATGATAAACCCGAGCGTGTGTGTGCGTGCGTGCGTGCGTGCATATGCTCCGCTCTCCTCGTTGGCGTCGATGAGTTCGCATTTTTCGTCGTCGTCGTCGTCGTCGTCGTCGCGCCACTCGAAAGACAACGGGTGGCTCTGGCGGCGACGACGACGACGACGACGACGACGACGACGATGACGATGACAGCCATACCCGATGAGCAAAAAAGATCCAAGTCTCAATCGAGCGATCGCATTTCGGCTGATCACCGCGACGTAATCAATGAAGCACATATCCCGTGTGCGTGTGTGTGTGTGTGTGTCTTCTTGTGAAGTACAATATAATTGCTCGAGGACGCACGCAATTAATAGAATTCCATTAATAATGTATATTTATTAATTTATTTGATTATTTAAAAATTAGAAGAGTATATTTATTTAATTTACTGTGATACAAGGCTGTAAGTTAGTTATTTACAAAATATGAGCGAGACGATATGAAAGTATATGTGTAAAATAGAGAAAAGAAAAGAGAGAGATGGTAAAGTAAGTAGATACGTAAGTTAAGATATAAGTGAGCACAAATAAGGTATAAAAATGTGTGTGGCGAAAAGGGAAGGAGGTAAGTGGAAAGAGGTGAAAAATCAAGTTCCCTTCTCTTGGCCAACTGGCTGAAGTATAAATAAAATAATATAATAATAATAATAGAATTCCACATTATGTGTTTGATGAGAAATTCAAGTTGAACATTTTACAACAAAGTCCGCGATATATAAAATAAGAAAAAAAAACAAGAGAGAGAACCCGCAACTTGCGGTCGCGATATTCCGCGACAATGAGACATTCGAATCTTGCGAAAATCTTGTACTGATTCACTCGATTGTGAGTAACGTAACTAAAAATAGTATTTTGCAAATGTATATTATTTCGATTATTGTATATTTTCTCGATCTGTTGATGAGATAACAAGACGCGGTCACATGTGCGGCGAGCGCGTAATAAAATTTTGATCGCGGAGAACGTAATTTGGTGTTGTCAAAAAAATTTATCAAAACGCGGTCTGAACTTTGATGCCCTGTCTCTCTCACGAGAGATCTAAACAATAACCGGATTCTCGCATGTACAAAATATATTTATGTATGATTAAGATTTCGTATTAATTAACGATCCAATAATTAGCTCATTATTAATGATAAAATATCGACACTTTATTGCGCGCGCGTTCGTTCGCGTTTAAAAGACACGCCGCGAGTCTTCGCGCGTTTCGAAAGTTTGCGTCTGTACACCGAAAAAATTATATTCTTGTGAGTAGAAGATTTTATACTTAAAAAATCTTCTTAAAGATTTTTAGATGATATTCTTCTGAAATTAAGAATATATATTCTTTATTTGAGAATATATTCTTAATTTAAGAATATAGTCTTTTTCGATAGTGAGATATATATATGTTTTTCTATAGAGGCTTTTTATATTCTAATCGGTATATATTCTTATCAATATTACTATTTAGAGGATGTTCTTCTTAAAATAAGAAACTCTTCTTGGCGCCTATTTTAGTGTAAAATATACTTAAAGTAAGTGGGATATCCTCAAAACAAGAATACAATTTTTTCGGTGTA